CAGTATTGCTTGTATTGTTCTTATGCTATTTTGTAAATGGATGACTGTTTTCATGTGTTTTCCCTCTTTTATTTTTAAAATAAATTTAAAAAAAAAAGATTTTGCCTTTATGTACATTAAGGAGATTGGCCTGCATTTTTCCCCTTTACCTGGGTCCTTGTCTCATTTTGGAATCAGAGTGATACTGGCTTCCAGGAATCGGTCTGAAAGCATTCATTCCCTTTCAATTTCATTGGAGAGTTTGAGGAGTATTGCTATTATAAGCTTCCTAAAGGTGTTGCAGCATTCCACAGTGAATACAGCTAAGCTTTACTTAGTTGGTGGAGTATTTATTTTGCCTCAATTTCATTGTTTGTTATTCAGTTGTTCAGAGTTCTTATGTTTTCTTGGTTCAGTTTTGGTAATTAATATGTGTCTAGAAATTGTCAGTTTCTTGGGCTGGGGAGATAGCTCAGTGGTACAGCACCTGCCGGGCAAGTACAAGGTCTTGAGTTGGATTCCCAGCACCAAAACAAAGAAAAGAGAAGAAAAAGAAATTGTCACTTTCTTCAAGATTCTCCATCAGTGCCCATTGGATCTGCTTTGGGTAAGTTGGGAGTCTTTGGAGGCATGAAGATTGAGGTCAAAGAGGGTGAGGAAAGTTTGTTATTGATATGACAATATTATTAGTTATATTCTGTTTTCCAGTTATGTGTTAGTGGGTTTATTTCTCTAGGGATATTATTCACTCCTATAAGCATTTCAGTTTAATTAAGTTGCACCCTATTGCTATGTTGTAAGAATTTCTTTTCTTTATTTTAAAGAGAATAAAAAACAATAAAAATGATACAGAATTTCAAAATAAGATTATAGGAAATTGACAATAGTTGTTATATTGCATATTGTTACCTTCAAAGTAGTTGCTTAGATGACCAGATATATGCATGTAAAATTGCTCAAATAGTATAAGCACTAACTGTTCCTTTCAATAAATTAATAGAAATTAGTAGTACAATTGTCTTGTGTGTGTTTCTCTTCCTTCTTTCCCCCATCCCAGTTGTTCTTCCCTTTAGAGCAGTTTCTTTCCCTTTCACAATATCTACTGTACCTTTTGGATTTTATTTACTCTTTCAGTTTCTTACACTAGGGAGACAATACAATGTTTACACATGAGTTTGATTTATTTTACTTACACATATGGTCTCTAGTTGCATCCATTTACCTATAAAAGCCTTGACCTTCTCTTTCTTTACAGCTGAGTAATACTCCATTGTACAAAAAGACATCTTCATTATGTATTCCTCAGTTGATGGGCATTTGGGTTGTTTCCAAGATCTAACTATTACAAATTGTGCTGCTATAAACATGAGTGCACATATATATAACTGTGGTATGTTTTCAATTCTGGGAAAATACCCAAAAGGGGAATAGTTGAATTGAATGAGATCTCTAATTTCAGTTTTTTGAGGAATCTCCACACTGATTTGCATAGTGGTTTCACCAGTCTACACTCCTGTCAACAGTGGAAAAGTGTTCTTTTTTCCCACAGCCTCTCCAGCATTTGTTATTGGTTGATTTCTTGATGATAGCCGTTCTTTCTGGGGTAAGATGGAATCTCAGTGTTGTTTTAATTTGTGTTTCTCAAATGACCAATGATGTTGAACATTTTTTCATATATTTATTTGCATTTGTATTTCTTCATCTGAGAAGTGTGTATTCATCTCAGCTTCCCATTTTTGGATTGGGTCTTTGAATTTTGAGGGTCTGATCTTTTTAAATTCTCTGTATGTTCTAGATAGAAGTCCTTTGTCTGAGGGACAGTTGGCTAATTTTTTCCCAATTTGTGGGTTTTCTTTTTACTCTGCTGGTGATTTCTTTTGATGTGCAAAAACTTTTCAGTAGGATGAGATCCCAGTTATTGATTCTTTGAAGTATTTCCCATGCAGTTTTTTGTTGTTGTTCATGAACTCTCTGCCCACCCTTATGTCTTCAAGATTTCTGCCTACTTTCTCTTCCAGCAGATTTAGTGTTTCTGTTTTAATATTTAGACCTTTGATCCATTTTGACTTTAGTTTAGTGCACAGTGATAGACATGAGTCTCATTTTAGTCTTCAGCATGTGGAAAGCCAGTTTTTCCAGCACCATTTATGAAAGAGGCTGTCTTCCTCAAAGTGAACATGTTCTGCATCTTTGCCACTTTGTCAAAAACTAGGTGACTGAGTGTGTTTGTAGTTGTGTCTGCATCTTCTAATCTGTTCCACTGATCCTCACATCTGTTTTCTTGCCAGTACCATGCTGATTTTATCACAGTAGCTTTGTAGTATAATTTCAAATCAAGGAACATGATGCCTCCTGCCTTGCCATTGCTGCCCAGGATTGCCTTTGTTATTCTAGGTCAAAAAGGGAATTTCTACAGATTACAACAATGTGAACAGAACCAACCATACATAAATCATAAATATTCAAACTTCCTTTGATAATTTATCCCTTTCTCAATGGGATGTGTCACCTGTGGAGACATGGAAAGGAAAGTTACATCAAAGGGGTATGTCAGTAGGAAGAGAGGAGGCTAAGAAATAATGCACAGATAAAAGGAAAGTGGACAGGAAATCAGACTCTGTTAGAGTTATTCTATAACTCTAAAGGGGTGAAGAGTTTATGTGGAGGGGATTTGTGAGAGCATCGGTGTAATCGAGAGGATGTATGCAGACGGGTGGCAATGTATTTAGAGACTGAGGGAGACTATGAGATTGCTGGTGCCAGCTCATATGTTTGTTGGTAGTTTGGTTTGTTTCCCCTAAGCCTGATGTTACTAATGATTACCCTGATATCCTTGAAATGTTACTGTGTAATTTATAGCACTGGTGAATTCTTACTCTCTAAGGCACTTATACAGTGCCCTTTTATGCCATTAAATAGATAGAAAGGAAGAAGGGAAAGGCAGGAGCTACTGTGAAGTACAGAAGGAGGAAGAGCAGTGTGGGGAGCAAGTTGAAGGATAGGAAGATACACTGAAAGAGAGAGCAGGAACCCCAGCACTCTGGAGGCTAAGGCAGGAGAATTTTTGTGAGTTCAAGACCAGCCTGGGCTACAAGCTCACATTTTGTGAGCTCAAGGCCAGCCTGAACTGCATAGCGGAACCTTACCTCAGAAAGACAAAAAATAAAAGAGAGAGCAGGTTCAAGGGAAACCCTTGAAACTTCATGCATTGTAATCAACCAATACTAATAAAGAAGAACCAAAAGAAAGAAGAATAACAAAAAAGGAAAACATAGAATAGAGAGAAAAACCTGAAAATCAACCAGGATAGCCCAAATGCAACAATATAGGAGGGTTACAATAACTAAAATTATCAAAATAACAATGGAAATAAGAATACAAATCTTCACAGTGTTTATAGCCCTAACCCAGATCTTCCACACAGCTCCTGTTCACTGGTGTCACTGTCTGGTTTCAATTAGCCACACAGTTTCCCACTGGGGCCCACACCATTACCTGGTTGAATTCCTGAGGCCTGTTGCCTCCTTCTAATTTATGCCCTGGTTTGGAGCTTGATGTGGGCCCCCTTGCAGACCTCCATGGATTCAATTATCTTGATCAATTTGGAGGGTAACTATCAGGGACCCATATTCAGCCATGATGAATCCCTGCCCAGAATTTTTATTATGAGACAAGTTGTCTCTAAATCACTGAGGTGCCCGGGCTGGACACAAACTTGTCATTCTCCAGCCTCCACATTCCAGAGCGCTGGGATTACTAGTGTGTGCCAACACATGTGGCTTTGGCTTTCAAAATACACAAAAGATTTGAACAGATATTTTATTAAAGAATAATTTATGGGTATTGAATTGTTAATGAGCACATGAAGAGATGGCTCACATTACTACTCATTAAGGAAAGGCAAATTTAAACGATGAGAACCACTATAGAAGCAGGAATGGTTACTACTCAAAAGACAAATGGAAACAAAGCTTTGTAAACAAGGAGGGGAAAAAGGGGAGGGGGATGGGGAAAAAAGAGGAACTGAGATATACCATGTATAAGTACAAATTCCCTATGATGAATGTGATCATTATGTGTATCTAAATGGTACCAATAAACTTAATAAAAGAGATAATAGCAAGTCTGAGCAAGTACATGGAGAAACTTGAACCATCATACATTGCTTGTGGGGATGTAAATTAGGGTGGGCACTTTGGAAAACAGACTGGCAATTTCTTAGAAAATTAAACATAAATTTACTGCTCAACTCCTAGGACTTCACCAAATAGAAATGAAAACATATGTCCATATAAATGTACATGCTTGAATGTTCATAGCAACAGCATTTATAATAAACAAAAACAGGTGAGTGGATAAACAAAATGTGGTATATCCATACAAGGGAATACAGTTTGGCAGTGAAAATTTAAAAAAAAAAAACTTTTGCTCCATGGCACCACAAGAACGACCCTGAAAACTGTATGCTAAATGAATGAACCTAGATAAAAAAGGCTACACATTGTTTCATTCCATTTATCTGAAATGTCAAAAAACAATCAAACTTGCAGAGCTTGAAAGCAGGTCTGAGTGAGCCAGGGCTGAGAGGGTGCAAGTGGCACGAGGCTGTACTAGGGGGACAGAAATGTTCCCAAACTGGACTGGGTGGGTGGTGCTTGCACAGGTTTATATATTTACTAAGAATAATTTAATTGTATATATGTACAATGTATGGATTACAAGTTATATCTTTATGAAGCTTTTCAATAGAAATCAAAACCTAAAATCCATATATATGTATGTCTCAAATAGTAAATATAAATATTTAAAAATATTAACAATGGTTACCTCTTTTTTATGGAATTGCAGATACTTTTTATTCTTTATAACATTTATCTGTGTATTTAAATTACATGATAATAAGCATATTGTCCTTTTGTAGTCACAAATACAGAAGGCTGCTGGAAAAGTAATATCTGGAGAACCAGGCACAATGGCACATACCTTTAATCCCAGCACTCGGGAAGCTGAGGTAGGAGAACTGCCATGAGTTTGAGGCCAGCCTGAATTACATAGTGAGACCCTGTTTCAAAAAAAACAAAAACAAAAACAAAAATAATATCTGTCAACAGGAATATAACACCTTCCTCTAAAATTCTAGTACCTAATAACACTTTTGGTAATTAATCCCACACACTGGCATAACATCAGTTCCCCAAAATACTTTTAAGAATCAACTTGCCACTAGTGCTATGTACCATGCTCCAAAATAAAATCTGTGCACATACCCTGCCCTCAGCTGACCCCAATCTCAAACCTCTGCTCTTGCACAGTCCAGCCACACATGCCTGGTTTTGGTCACCTCCACAGAGTCCCCTCTGGATTTTACAATGGAAGTGAAGAGAAAGTAAACAACTTTCTCTCTTGCAATGAGAAACTTTACCGTTTCTCCCTGCCAGAGTTTCAGAAAAAGGGGGCCACAGAGGGTTGAGCCAGTTGGCAGACCCTACTTATCAACAGAAAACCTGGCCAGGGAGGGAAGAGATTCTGGAAACAGCGTTCGTGTGCGTAGAGCTGATAGAGGTAAGAGCGATGAAATCCATCTACACCCATACCCATGGGCTCTGGATGCTCAGTCTTTAAGGCTGTTTGCTATGGCTTGGACATGGTTGGGCCCCTCTAAAATTCATGTTGAAATTTGATTTCAGGGTCATGGTGTTGGAGTGGGATTGTGAAAAGATAATTAGGTCAGGGGGCTCTACCTTCATGCATGGATTAGCATCTTTCTGGAAAGACTGGGTTATGTCTCACAGGAGTGTCACCATGGCTTAGTCGCTGTGACAGCAGCTGATCCCCAGCAGGCTTACCTCTGGTATTCCATCTCCTCTGCACATATCTACCAGGCTCTCTCACACATCCTCCCACCATGCAATGCCATCCACCACACGACTTTGCCACAGGTCAAACAGACACCTGCACCATGCTCTTTAACACTCAGAACTGTGAACTAAATAAGCTTCTTTTCTTTATAAATCACCCAGCCCCAGGTATTTTGCTATAGCTATTTGGAATGGACTAATACACTGTTCCACTGTCTACTTTGGTTTCTGCCTCATCTCCTCCCTGCCACAGAGCTTTGTGCCTTAGTAACCAAATCCAAATCCAATCACTTTCCCCCAGGATACTAAGAGAGGCCAGACTGAGTACAAAGAAACCACTAAAGTCTCCTGTGAGAGCTAACCGCAGCTGACACAGCGGGTAGCACAACTGGGCCCCGCCCTGCTGCCTGGAGGCTTCCCTCCGTGGGCAGATGTGTTCACTGCTGCGCTACTACATCTCCTCCCTCCCAGCTCCAGTCCTGCTACGATGTGCTGCTCATGAGAGCTCAAGCAGATCATCACTAGTGCGGACCATCAGAGGGCAGGGCTGTCTGTCAAGTCAAGGAAAGAGTTTAGCACTTGGAGAAAACAGCGTCCCCCTGGCTGGTCTCAGCCTGGAATGATGAGCTTGGCCTTGACTGGCACTGGGCTTAGCCAGCTCCAAAGAGGCAGGCCACCGGCACAGCCCTCAGCTCAGTGCCTCAGCCTCTCATCTGTTTTGGCACGCTGCCAGCGAAAGATTTCAGCCAGTCTCCAAGCCACATACCAACATAAATAGATTGGACTGATTTTTAAAGGGAAAGAGTCACCTCCACGAAAACTGCAACTATAGAAATTGCTCATTCCAAGGAAAGAGGAATATCAGAAACCAAAGTACCCTTTTTATGGAAGCCTGTAGATAAAATAAAATTTTATCAAGCTGTAATTTTTTTTTATTTCACTTTCTTCACAGGCTCACAGTACTGCAAAAATATCCCAGATAAGAGCAGCAGGACCACCAGCACACAGTGATTTATGGACTTTCTTGAATCCCCAGAAGTACAGGGAACATTGTGTGCAGCCCTGCATATCCCCACTGGGTCTGTGATCCAAACAAGCAACCATATACTCCCCAGCAGCGACAAAAGTGCCAACACTGTGGATATTTTGTGAACGATTACAGAGTTTGTGGTTTAAAGCACCAGAATATCACCTTCATATTATGGGAAGAATAGAATCAAAAGCTATAAAACACCTCACCTTCATGCAAACCTTTAATTTTCACTTAATAGTCATATAGCCTTGATTAGATCCCCCTCTGTAAAATGATATAATCTCTCTCCCTCTAAAACATATTATGTCCAACACTCAGGAGGCTGAGGCAGGAGGATCATTGCAAGTTCAAGGCCAGCCTGAACTCCACAGTAAACTCAAGGCCAGCCTGAACTACATAGTGAGACACTGTCTCAAAAAAAAAGCAGGGTGAAGGGAGGGTTGGGAAATGGGGAAAAAAAGTTATATCGTGTACAAGTAAAATTCTCTATGATGAATGTAATCATTATGTATATCTAAAATGTACCAATAAAATCTAATGTAAAAAAAAGGATGTTGCCAGGGAGATTCAGTGGTGTAATATAACACAAACATTTGGGTTGCTAAAAGGTGCCATGCAGATATACAGCATTTTATTTTGAATATATTTTTCATAGATGTTTTCCAAAAGGACAAAAGGAAGAAAAATCTTATAACTGTTATTTGCTGCACTTCCTTGATGCCTTGCCTGTTATTAACAGATATGGAGATTTTTGATGCTGGTGAAAATTTAAGGTGGAATTTTCATATTAAAATTTTCAACTTTTGTAAATGATAGCACTTAAAAAAAGTAAAAAGAAGAACCTAGTAGTGTTGGTTTGCTAATAATAAATCCTCCAAGTTGTGTCAAATAAAACTTTCCCAAACAACAGGCTGAAAATTCTTCATTCATTTGTAAGCTCTTAGTCCCTCCAAAAACTACTTGAAAATTCATTAAGATAACTCATGAGTGCTCAAAATCACCTAATTTGTTAACGAGGCATAATACACTAAAAGCAAGCTGCTCTAATCCTCCAAATAATTAGATTTCTCATATTACCATAGGAAGAAGTCTTCATTTCATTTTAAGAAGGATTGAAAACAACTGAAATTAATCTACCTCAATTAGTCACATTTTTAACTTTTCTGAGGACAAAAAAATACATATCTAGATTTTTTCCTTTGTAAGAAATTTTACATTTTAAACATGACTCAGCACTCAAATAATAGTGTAAGGACCACCTACGATCAGAGTCGTGCCTGTCAGCGATTCTTTCCAGTCTGGTTATTTTGTGTGGGTCTTCCCCTTTTTCATATTTAGCCTCGCTCAGAGCCAGCATGCTAGTACTTTGCAGGTCCCTTGGTTTCATAAACTCACTTATACAAACCTGCAAAACTGCCCCACAAAACCGCCACCCATCCAGCAGCTTCAGTCGGCCAAAGTCTCTATTAGTTTAGGGACCATGACAGGAGAATTCCCCACCATAAGCCAGAGAGGATGTTCAGCCAGAGCAAGCCACAAGGACAAGCAGACAGCAGCACCCTTCGGCCACACACCTGAGGTTCCTCTAAGCAGCCGCTAATTAATCTGACATTGGTGAGAAAAGACCTCCAGGTCCTAGCTCGCTCACCTGCAAAACCATCCAGTACTAGAGAAAAAAAAAATCAGCTACTGAGTCCAATTATGTGACTTACTATTTCACAAAGAGCAAAAGGACTGAGGCAAAATTTCAGTCAATTTATATAAATTATTTCCCTCTTGGTCTACTAAAAGTATGTCAAATACATTCTCATTTTTTGTTTGCTATTTTAATTCATTTGGTATATTACCCTTATGTTTGTTTTATTATGTCTCTAATGCAAAAGATACTTGAATTCATAACAGACGAATGAATCTGGACATACTTCCAGATTTTCTTCCCCAGGGAATAGCTCTGACCTTGCCATTTTTTTTCTGAAGCCATTTGAACTTGAATCAGTGTGGATGGCAATCATTTCTCACCTATACCGTAATTAATGCATTATGATAAAAGATTCTGGGAAGCAATTTGGGGGGACAGTGGGTGTTACATGATTTTCCATTTCAAAATGAAACTGCCCAAAACCTGTAAGAAAATGTGTAAAAATCGGGATATGAGGCTTGCAAAACTGACTGGTTGTTTTTTTGTTTAAATTGGTATAAGTGTTATCTCTTCACAGAAGTCTAGTTTTGGTTTGTTGTGTTTTGTTGTGGTGGTTGTTTTTCATCATGTCAACCTTATTTCATGGCAGTGAAAATTCTCCAAAATCAAAGGCCGTGTGTCCAACAAAGGGCTGTCTCTTCTAAAGGGATAAAAAACATTTGTGGCCTTAAAATTTATATTCCTACATACATAAACAGAAAGACCATGACCTGTGGTGAATCCCTTGTCCAGATCATTGTCTTACACTACAGAGAAACTCAGGAGGCAAAAATGCTTCAGTCTTCTCTTCCCACACACCACCCCCAAAGTCAGTGCACATCTACTCCAGCAAAGACCAGGGCTCCACTTTAAAGAAAAGAATCAATAGGATCACCGCTGGCCAGGTCCTAGGTTTGGGCCAGTTTCACAAAAGGAAGACTTTGCTGAAGAAACAGCACCAGTTTGGTTTTCAAAAGATTTGACAAGTTTCCAAATCTTTTGAAAATCAGATCTTTGTCTTTGTTTTTATTTGCTAATCTCTGTGGTTTCTAGATTTGAAGCCTGACTTCCAAGACCGCCAAAAGTGATTGGATAACAGTTTTGTAATTTTAATGTTGATTCAGCAAGATAAGATTTTATAGAATTACACTGGCAGGATTTGGACTTGACACACAGACTATGTTCCAGATTGTGAGTGTCACAGAGATTCCAGAACACATCCACAAAGAGCCTTTGAGTGACTGCCCCACAGCAGACCTGCATGCCCTGTGTGATCACAGAATTTGCAAATGGTTTGATTATAATCATCCAGGAAATGAAAGCCATTTTCCCTTTTTACAGTGAGAAGCAAGAAAAGATGAAGAAGTACATGCTTTTGCAGAAGCTCAGTTTTGGTTTTGTTCCTTTATTTTTAAATATTAGCTTAGAGAATTAAAATCTATTTATTTTTCCTCTCTTTATAGGTTCACTAACAAACAGTATTTCTTTTCTTC